GGAAGCGGAAGAGAAGCGAGGTGAGTGTGAGGGGTAAGATTGTCAAGAATTGAAGCTTTTGCTCTCAGCTTGATGCTCTCCAGCTTCCGTTAGACTGACACACACTTTTTCAACGCTAACGATTGTGTCAGTCCAAGAGCTCGCGCTCTACTGGCTTGACACCTCCATCGTGCGAGGTTTTCACTAACTATACTTCAAGAGTGCGAAACGTGATTGGAGTGACTTCAGAACCAAACTGTAGATGCTCAGTGTAACACCGCTGAAGAAGAGAGCTCAACCAATCCGCACCACTTCAATCAAGCCCTTCTTTTGGGGAATTCCTTCAAGGTTTGTATGTGATTACAGCGAAGAAGAATTGGGACGGTGGAGCCATTTTCGAGAAACAAGAGAAAGTAGCTATGTGTGGACGCAGATACCGCTCCTGACATCAATTCCAAGGCAGTTACGGTAGCTACATGGGGCCTCAGCATGCTGCCTTATAACGTCATTCCCGAAAGTATTCCATTCCCACAAAGTGGTCCATGTCGCCGCGCAGGAAGCCTTCAAGGAATCGTCGAAGTTGTCCAAAAGACAGTTCCATAAGTCGTTGTCAAAGAGGGAATGAAGACCACTTGACAAAAAGCTAAAAAAGCCGAATTGAACTCACATGATCGGTGGCGTTGACGCATTGCGGATATTTGGCCAGCAGATGTCGCACTGTGTTGGTCTGCCCATGTAATAGCGCTTTATGCAATGGAGTCATTCCTGAAATGCTCCCAACGTTATTCTGAAATCAATTCGTAGCAAACTAATGACCAGAACTCCGGATGGGTTTAGCGGTCGCAAGCCGAACTGGGTGAATTTCCCGACAATACAGAGGTTTACAAACGCAAAATTTGGCCTCTCTCCGCGTCCGTTCACCAATGTTGAATATCACTAATCTTCACGCTGCAGCCTTGCATCCCAGACCGATTGGGAGCAGATACCCTTGGTTGCGGAAAACGAGAAGAGCGTCGAGTGCAGACCACACACCACAAGTTACGACGGCCAAGAAAAAAGAAAGAAAAAGCCAAATTTTTCTCGGCCGTCGTCACTTGTGGTGTGTGGTCTGCACTCGACCTCTTCTCACTTACGAAATAGAAAATAACTCGGCCGTAGAAGAGACAAATAACAGGCGCTCACAAATCTGGTCACCCTTTTTGGATAAAAGGGTAAGAAAGGAAGTTAACGCGTTTGGCATTTATAATTCCCTTTGTGGGAAGCGCCACGTCAATTATTACTTCCATTCGGAATTGTAATGGCCTTTTCGATAAGACTTGACCGATGCAATGACTTGTGTGCCAAGACGATGTACAAGTCGATGTTTCAATCGTCTCAGACAGGTCTGATCTCGACTGGATCCGAATAGCGGTTTACTAGCTAGAATTTGGACCCACGACCGTGGAAAGCAGGGATGCAGCTCCACGATCGCAACCGAATTTGTAAGCGACACAATCCCGTTGTATACCACATTCAGTAAATAGACAACGTACTCACCATAGGTATCCCTAGCAAGCGCCAATTGTTGTCGGTCGATCAGCGATTTCACTCGACGTACATCTCCATCTTCGACTGCCTTATGAATCGCGTCTATTTTTGACTGAAAATTCATATTTAGTGGTGTGTTTTCTGACAAGAACAACTTTCTCTGAATTGAAAGCGTCAATTGTGGCGTGCCCGATCCTTTTCTGTGACGTGTCGCGTCACGTATCCTGACTCCCTTCAGAGTTGGATGTACTTCAATGTGTTGTGACCTTCACAATGACTTAGTGGGCTAGGCAGATCTACAAAATGGCGTTTGTCATCACTACTGCGCACTACCGTCATGAAAGGTAGGGTTCACCTTCCTCAGAGTCTATCCCTCGCGATAGCTTCCTTCTGCATATAGGGATCAGATTCGAGGAAGATCAACGAGAACGTTTCACCTCTAAAGTTCTCGTATAGGGTGAAGTAAAGAACAAAGCTGAGAAGCGTTGAAGGCGGATTGACGATTAGAAAGCAGCCCATTAGAATTAAGGTAGAGGTGGTCAGTGGTGCGGGAAGAAGAAAAACCATGAGAAACGGCCCAGAACCCGAGAAATGGGACCCCTTCCTTGCCCGTTGATTTCCGCATTGATGCGACTCTCATCGGTGCTGCCCTCTTCAACGCTAACGCTCTCTCTCTGCTAAACGGCTAGAGACCTGCGGCGAGGTTAGCCAGTCGGTGGGCGTGCCGCGTCGATAGCGCCGCGAGAAGGGCCATGCTAGGTCGCCGAGGCATAGCCTTCGTTTGCATTGCGTTTCGGTCCACACCTTTAAAAGGTCCGCCTATGTCTTCTCACTATGTTAGTGAGCTTCCCCTTCTTCGACCTTATCAGAAAATCCTCCTTTGAATCAACGAGTCGCACTTCGAAATGTGGAAATGTGGTGGCTTACTATGCTGTTGAATGTCGAACACAACCAGCCGCTACGAAATCAGAACAAGAGCTAGAAGGAGAATTATACAAACGGTTTCTGACCTGATAGACTGTAAGACCGCGCAGAAACTCCTTGCTAGCCTCATTGGTTGACGTCTTCTCTCTAAATGGAGAATATGAGTGCTTCTCACTGATTTTTGTTCAGAAATTTGTTCTGAACAACCTCTGATTAACACTAACAATATCACAACTCACTTGAGTAAATGCCCACGCCCATCGAGCACGAGCTGCTCCAGTTTCGCCACCTCTCCGTTCGCAATCCATTCGTCAATCATAGAATCCGACGGCGCATCTGAACTCAGAGAAATGGTTGCAAAGAAGAATTCCAACTCTACCGTAACTCTATACAACTTTCAGGAGCTATATATGGTCCTGGAAGCCGTACAAAGGGTTGAAATTTTTCTCTAGGGGCGCTTCTGGCGCAGGTGTTTGCCGTGGATTCCACTCCCGGTGGTTTCGGGCGCTTCTGCCCCTTAACTTTTTCGATCTTTTAGCTATATTTTCTTAGTATATTGGACTTTTGTCCTACTGTGATGGCGGTACCAGATGGTCTGACTTCGATCCTTTTTTGCATGTTTATTCAGTATTTTTTCAATCTTTTATTTAGTGTTTACCTTTCCTACTCTGTGTGTAAGAGTAAGCAAAAAAAGAAGCGAGTGGTGCGCAAGCGAAAAAGCGATTGGTGCGCATAAATAAGAAAGTAAGTAAGTAAATAAATAA